ATTACTTTACTGCAGTATCTCCAGTATCTTCCCAGAAAGAGGGCATAGGAGTAAAGTTTTTCCGACTTTGCATTTTAAAATGTCTTTATTTTGCTTTCACATTTGAGTCATATTTGAGCTGAGTGTAGAAATGCCAGTTTGGGAAAAATTTTTGCTAAAAGTTTTGATGACCTAACTCTATTGTCATCTACTTCCCAATGTTGCTTTTGACCCATCTAACATCATTATTATTTCTACTTCTTTGTATATGTGTGTGTGTTTAAATCTTTCACAGGTTTTTCTTTTCTTTTTTCTTTTTTTCAAGATATTTGATTACAATGTCCTTGTTGTATACTTTGGTATCAGTCTTTTTTATTCACTTTATTGAGCCGTTAATGGACTTGTTAATTTTAGGATTTTTTTAGTATGGCTTTGAACACTTTCCTCTTTCTGTTGTTTCCCCCTATTGGATTCCTATTAGTTGGATGTTTATTTTTCTGTTTGAGTTTTATAATCTTAAAAAAAAATCCTCTTTTATCTTATTGGCCTACTTTCTGGGGTATTTCCACAATTATGTATTTCAACTCTTCCATGAATTGTGTATTTGTGTCTTTACCATATTTTTAATTTTAAAGGGCTTTATTCCTTTTGTTCTTGGTTCATGGATTATCTCTTATTTCTGTAAAAGTTTTTATCACACTTTTTTTGAAGATTTCTTTTGTTTTCTGCATTATCTCCACCCCCCTGCCCCCCCAATTTCCTGTGTATGTTTCTTGTTTGCTTGTTTTGTCTGTGTTCATGTTGGGGATTCTCTTCAAATGTCTGGGGATCCTGACTCTCATATCTAAGAATGAAGGTAAAAAACAGCATAGAAGCTCTGTGTGAATAGAGCTTATCAATTGGTGGGCTTCCTTGTAGGGTGTTAGTCAAGGATATTGCTATCTAATTGGAGACCTGTACATATCAGAATCTGTAGGTTGTCTTACTAGTAGTACTGTTTGATTTCTCTAGAGAAGTAACCTTGTGTTTTAAGCCTATTTGGAGAAAAGATCTAGAGGCTTCACTGCTCCTTTTCTTTTTAGTTTATATTTTGAGAGAGAGTGCCCGTATGTGTGAATGGGAGAAGGGCAGAGAGATAGGGAGAAAGAAAATCCCAAACAGTCTCTGCACTATCAGTGCAGAGCCTAATGAAGGCTTGATCCCATGAACCATGAGATCATCACCTGAGATGATGCTTAACCAACTGAGCCATCCAGGTGCCTCTTCACTGCCCTTTTTTTTTTTTTTTTTAAAGACTTTCAAACAAATCTCTTATTTGGTTTCATCTATCACTTCCACCTCCAGGAGTACCAGCTGCCTCTTATTTCTGAGCCTTTCAAGATTACTATAGTGCAATTTAGCTTGAATCTTGTTGGCTTCTGTCTATATACCCCCACCCTGTGCCAACACACACGCGCGCACAGACACACACACACACACCATCACTTGACAGCTCAGAGCTTCCTACATTCTGATAAATCAGTTATCGCTTGTTCAGTTGTTCACTTGCTTGTAAATTTTTTGACATCGTTTGTCTGCTTTTGTATCTCTTCCTTTTCTGTTGTTCTTTTGAGTTTATGCCTCTTTTATTCCTTTACTATCTTTTTAGTGGGATCACAAGAGGGAGTGGAAATAAGCAAATACATTTATTTAGACAAACTACATTTATAGCTCTTTTCATTCTACAAGCCTATTTGCTTTGGTGTTGTGACTAGCTATGAAAAAACCATGTTCTTATGCTTTTGTCTTCCCATTCCAAGCCATTCTGACAAGGAAAACAAGAGAGACAGAAGGAAGGATAACATCAAAACAAAAAAAATTCTTTTTACCTCAAATCATTGATAATTCTATTTTATCTATTAATGAGAGATTTCTATGTGACTCTTAATATTTGTGTTCATACCCATTAACATCCAAGTTGGCTTGTAAATTGCTTGTGTCCCAGTCACTCTGATCATCTTTCTATATCTTGGTCTCTCTTGACTCCTTAATGAGAATTTCTCTTTTTCCTCTTTTCTCCATGGATTCAACTCTGTGGTGGTTTTATCCCTTATACTGGCTTCCACAACAATGCTGATGTCACAAAATTGCCTTCCATCATGTTTACTTATGGCATAAAATAGCTTTGCACATCATGCTTACTGGTTCAGTAAACATTTATAGAATTTTAAAAGTTGTTTAGTCCCTGAGTGGACCCTGTTGTGTACTCAGATGCAGACAAAGAGAATAATACCTAAGTTACCTACTAAAAGTCATTTGGATCAAAACCACAAGCTTAGCATTTGATATACAAGACCAAATACTCTTACTGCCCGGTTGTTGGGACAAAGTTACAGATGAAAAATGCTAGCAGTACAACATATATAAGAGTCTTATTACTTGTTGGAGCCAGCAAATACTAGAGATATTCAGAGCAGGAGATCAAAGGGAATAGGAGAAGAAGCCACAAACATTTACTGAATTCTTATCCCAGGAAGCATGTATTTTAGGTGGTCTGGGAACACATATTGAGGGAGAAATTTTAGCCACTTAAGTTGGCCTTTAGTGATGCATTGGATTTGTATGGAAGGAGAAAAAAGACATCCCATGCAAGAAGAAGGTGGACCCAAAAATACACTGCTGAAAATGATGCCCATGTGACTTGGAAGGGTGAGGGCAAGGTCTGTCTAGATTTGGTGTTCATGTTACGTAAAAGCAGGGAATGAGGTTGGATTGTAGGGTTAAGCAAGAGACAACAAAAGTAGGAGAATCTTAGTTTTCAGAAGAAGGAAAAACAGCACATTGCATCACAGAAGTCTCTCAATGTAGGACATGACTTTGATGCATTTCCATGACTTTAAATGAGGAAATATTTACATAGCCCCTTCATAACTGCAGCCTCTTAGTTTTGGTAGTTGATTTATTTCTTTGCTATTTGCTCTGCAAGTATCTATTTTACTTGGGGAGGAAAGAGAAATGGGATGGTTTGTGTTCTCTCTGCATTGTAGGGAAAAAAGCGATTTATCCATAGCCTGGAAACAATGGGAAATATCCCTCACCTTTTCAGAACAGAGGAATGTGGGTTGGTTACTTTGCAAGACTTTAGGTGATCTTCATTTCAAACAATCCTTATTAGGCTCCACTATGGTAAGATATAACTTTGGAATTTTCAAAGTCCCCGTTGCAGATGATTAACCTAAATAGCAAAGATTCCTTGGGTATGCCAGGTCGTGGAGGGCAGTGGGTAATTCTCCTAGGAGGCCTTAGTAGTGTTGGAATATTGAGACTAGGGTAGTCGTTTGGTCAGTTTTGGTAAATAACTTTACATCAACTTCTCAACTTTCATCTCTCAGTGGAGAAAGATGCTGGAGAAAGATACCAGGGGCTTCACTCAGCAGCCCCGAAGATTGCGCTGGGGGGCCGCAGCCTGGTCAGCTGAGCAAATGATGCTTCGGCCCTAGATTCTGGTTTCGTGATGACTAAGCTGACCCGGTTAGCAGGCTGCTGGGTTTCTTTGTCCCTGCACACTTTCTGCTTCATGAGATGCCTAAGCAAATAGAATCGGCAACCGCTAGGAGGTACCCGAGCTATGCGTCGGCCGCCGGGGCGAGCTGAAATGGCTAACTGTGGGTCCCTCAGCTCCGAAGAGTACAGGCTGGTGGCGTTTTTCCAAGGTCGGGGTTGCGATTAGCTTGTGGGTGGAGGGAGGAAGAGGTCTAAGAACAAACGGCCCTTTAATCTAAAAGGCAGAGGAGGTGAACGCGCCTCCGAGGCATTATCAAGTCCCGAGGTCTGCGAGCTCGGGCACCAGCTGGCTGCACATCTGGATGCAGCAGCGCCTTTCCCTGCAGGGCGGAGTCAGGCGGAGGATCCCGGTGTGCACGCACCTCCCCGTGCGCGCGCGTGCGGGTCCGTGAGCACCGAGTGTGTGTATCTGAGTGTGTGCGTTTGTGTGTGTGTGTGTGCGCGCGCGCGCGCGCGCCGGCTGGAACCGGGGTTCTGGAATCGGGTAATGGGGGGTGGGAGCCCAGGAAGGAATAAATCTCCGCCGACAACGTCCTCGCGCCTCATTGCGGGTTAATAACCAGCCGGTTGTAGAGAGACGAGGGTGACGGTGGCGGGGTGATAGCCCAGGCGCGCCGGCCGCGTGTCGAAGGGTCAGGTTATCAGCCAGTCTGTGCCACACTCAAATGTATACGTACATTGGGGGTGGAGGGTTATTTTTTATTGTTTGCCTCTATCTCCAGAGAACAAGGGAGGGAGGGAGAGGCGCGCGCTCCAGGCGAGCGTCGCTGATCTGAACCGGTCGAAGGAGGCAAATTTGCGGGTGGGGGAGGGCGGGGGAGACCTTGATTTCCACCAATCCCCGGGCGTTTGTCTGCGAAGTCCGGGGCGCAGCGGTAGGCTGCGGCGCGCCGCTGAATTAACTGATGAGAGCGAGTTCTTTTCTTCTCCGGGAGGGGTGGGGAGCGAGGGTCCTGGCGGGCAAGGCGGAGAAGCCCGGGGCAGGATAGCGGTCCCGGGCCGCGGTGGAAATTTCCAAGGACTTGGCGCGGCGCGGGGAGCGCGTCTGGGGGCGGGGTGCCTGGCGGTGCAGCAGCACGGGAGGCGGGGAGAGGCGGCGAAGGGCGCCGGAGCATCTCTCAGAAGGGGACGCCGCGGGCCAGTTGTCTGGGAGGGAGCCGAGCCTCTCCCCGGACCGCGCCGAGGGCGACAGTGATGCTGCAGAACCGGCGGGAGCGACTCGCAGCGGCCGCTCTCTGCGCTCTCGCAGACCCCAGCGCCCGCCTTCTGCAGGGGAAGCGACCATGACCATAGCTCGTGATTCGCCCCCCAGCCACTTCCCCTAGAAAGAAACCCTTGAAAAAGTTGCATTTAAAAAAATCCTTGCGCTGACCTTTGGATCCGTGGGGGCTGAAGAAACGTGCGTGCCATTGCAAGCCAGAAAGCGAAAGGTGTGTGTGCATGGGGGGCCGGCAGTGGGGGCACCCTCTGCTGCCACTTTGCCTAACGCTGTGCTGAGGCCGCCTCCTTGGGACCCTGGGGCTGCGATGAGCCCCTGCGGGCGGGCCCGGCGACACACGTCCAGAGGGGCCATGGCAGTACTGGCGTGGAAGTTCCCGAGGACCCGGCTGCCGGTGGGAGCCAGTGCCCTTTGCGTCGTGGTCCTCTGTTGGCTCTACATCTTCCCAGTCTACCGACTGCCCAACGAGAAGGAGATCGTGCAAGGCGTGCTGCAACAGGGCACGGCGTGGAGAAGGAATCAGACAGCGGCGAGAGTCTTCAGGTACTCCTCCTCTCGGGGCTCCTCCCTGCTCGTGTCCTTTACCCCCGGTGCGCCGAGGACAGGGTCACTGGCTAGGACCACCTTTCAGAGGCATCTCTTTCATCCAGTCCTTCTTGTCCCACACCCTTTCTTTGCCTGAAGCCTTTAGTCAAGGGTCCTTCCACCCCTGACACCAAGAGACGTGCAGACTCTTGCTTTGGCCATGTAAAACCTGAAGCATTTCTTCCCCAGCCTGAGTTACAGTCACCGATTTGCAGATAACTGGTGGGAAGGAGAACCCAGGCTAACTTTGTCCTTTGCACTTAATAAGCATTAAGCTCTTGGGCGCTGCAGATGTTCGAAACTATAGAGAACTAGAAGCAGCTAAGAGGCATCTTCCCGAGGTTAGGAGAGTGGTTGGTAACAAATCACTAATGAGGGAGTGATGAGCAAATCTTGGGCAGGAAAAACATGGACACCTAGCCAGGATCCCGCTGCTTTGTGCAGTGTGCCCATGACAAAACACAGCCCTTACTGATGCCCTACTAAGAGCTAGGTACTGTGTGAATTTTATTGAACCCTCAACAACTTTCTAATAACAGATATTATTATTCCCATCTTACCAACCACAAACTGAGTCTTCAGAAGTAGGAGTTACTTCCCCCAAGGTCACGTCCCTTTGAAGTGTGGGATCTGGAATTTTCATCACATAAGGCTCTACAGCTCCCAGCTCTATTTCTTTTTCTTCTTCTTGTGGCTTAGTCTGTGGATGCCTTCTGGAGAATGGGAGATGGGCTTTAGGTAGAGACTTGAAATCAGAAAACAAACAAGAGCAACAAAACACAAACCAGGTTGGAAATCAGAACTCTGAGGATCACTCAGAGGTTGTAGTTTCCCTTCCTTTCTGGGAATTTCAGCTTAAGTGTCTAAAAATAAGTCCTTGGCAGCAGAGGTTGTATAGTTAGATTGGAGGGAAGGCAGCGGCTTCCCCTCACTCTCCCCGTCCGGGGCATGTTGAGGGGACACATCACTGTCAGATGCCCCTTTCACCTTCAGTCCCCAGGGGTGGGGACTGAATGCTGAATGCTGAAGCTCTTCCTGAGAGTGTAGTGGTCTGGCCCGGGAGTGCTTTCCTTTGCTCTGCCTAGGATCTTTCTAAAGCAGTATAGGGGCAGTGGAGAGCCAACTGAAACTTTTTCACTACTGTTGGTTACAAATGTTCAGAAACATCTATAAATTTCAGAAAACTTTTTAACCATATTGTTTCCTTCTTCTCAGGCCTGCTTCTGGAAAGAAGGTCAAAGAGATAATACCCAACTCTTTTTCTCTCTCTCTTTTTTTTTTTTTAAATATTTTTATTTATTTCTAGGAGAGAGAGAGAGAGAGAGAGAGAGAGAGACAGCGTGAGCAGGTCAGAGAGAGAGGGAGACACAGACTCCGAAATAGGCTCCAGGCTCTGAGCTGGCAGTCAGCACAGAGCCCGACGCGGGGCTCAAACCCACGAACCGCGAGATCATGACCTAAGCGAAAGTCGGATGCTTAACCGACTAAGCCACCCAGGCGCCCCAATAGCCAATTCCTTTACAGGAAGGCAGCTGAATTCTTTAAACTGGGAGGGAAGACTTTCCTTCTCTCTCTTTAGAGTTCAGCTATCATTAAGTTTAAAAATAACCTTACACCCCTTAAAAGTATATAAGGGCTAATTTTCTCTCGCCTTCACAGTATTGATTGTTGGACTCAAAAGCACGCAAAGGGCACAGCATCCAGCAACTCTTTTCTTTAAAGACAGAAAGCACTTTCATTCCAAAAAATATAAAGAAATGAGTTAAGAACTTCCCATTGGTTTGCAATGAAAGAGTCCATTTTTTGGATAGGAGGAGGAATAATGAAGCTTTTTTAGAGAATGCATTTCTTTTGCAGGACATGATCAAGTGGAAAATGCTCCATATTCTGGGAAACACAGGCTGATCGTTTCTGAGATGCATTTGTCCCTTGCTGTCAGTAGCCTGGGGTAATCTTCAGTGTGTTTAGCTGTCATTGAGTCTAGTCTCTGTGTGCTGAGAATTACTAATTGAAGTCCACACGCTATAAAAAAAAAAACCAACTGCTTTAACACATATCCCTCAAGATTAACGTCTGTAAAACTGTGTAGAGGCCCCGTTGCTTATTGAAAAGAGTTTGGGCTTTGGAGTAGAATTCTAGATTAGTAGAATTTCTGGATTGAGTGTGCCATGACTAGATAGATAAGCAGGAGAGTACGCTTGGCAAGCTGCCTTATCTCTTTGAATCTTAGTTTCCTTATTTATAAAAAGGGATAATAACATTTACCTTGCAGGATTAGTATAGGCTTAAATTAAAAAAAAACAAACAAACTGATGCACCTTTACCCAGTCAGTGGAATTATTATAATTGTCATGAATCATACCTTTCTGTATATGTTACAACTTAAATAAGGACTGCTGGGAAGCCCATAAGAATTAAAAGCATTTCACCTGCCAAATTTGCAGAGAAACATTACTGGTCAATACTCTGCTCTCATCCCCCTGCTTCTTTACACTGAAGCTAATAATTAGGGACAAGGAGGTTTTTTTTGTTTTTTTTTTTTTAAATGTTTTATTTATTTCTAGGAGAGAGAGAGACAGCGTGAGCAGGGGAGGGTCAGAGAGAGGGAGTCACAGACTGAAACCGGCTCCAGGCTCTGAGCTGGCAGTCAGCACAGAGCCCGACGCGGGGCTCGAACCCACGAACCACGAGATCATGACCTAAGCGAAAGTCGGACGCTTAACCGACTAAGCCACCCAGGTGCCCCAAGGGACAAGGAGTTTTGAAAGATAAAGGTATCCTGGTTTGTTAAGTCAAAAAATTTTTGTATGCATGCTTAATAAAATCCATTTTTTAAAAAAAAATGGGTGGTTACTACATGGGCAGTAGTGTATGTTTTTAAAATATTAAATAGGTAAGCCAGAGGCCTTTATTATGTTAAGAAGACACAGCTTTTGCAAATAGATGTCTGTGTTTCCCAGTCTAAAATATCTTCTGCATGAATAGAAATATATATATATGTACACAAATGTACTGTATGAACATATATATGTACAGAAATGTACTGTATGCACTTATGTATAGAGATATGCACATTTATTTATGAACTGTGGAATGATTTCATGTATATGTATAAATTCATACATATATTCAGATATACACACATGCAAATCATTGCAATTAGTCAGTTGACCAACGTTTAATGAATGACTACTGTGCACCAGATTTCAGGCCCCAAAGGATAGCAGTAAACAAGATTGCTTTCCCTGAGACAGCTTATCTCCTACTACGGGGAGACTGACAAAAACAAATGAGTAAAGTAATAGGATGATTTAAAGTTCTGTTAAATGCTATGAGGACAAAGGAAAGTGTTTCATTATGCTCTAATTAGAGCATTTCATTAAGCATTAGAATTTCACATTACATTTTACCCTCTGTGCTTTCATTTACTTTTGCGATTTTCTTCTCTTGGCTCAGACTTCAAGTATGACTTCTCAGGGAGGAACCTTGACAAGATCACATAGGGGAAGGCAGCAAGAAAGTAACAGCTGCAAAAATTTTGAACTAGATGGGACATTTTTGTGACATCCACATTGTAATAGAAAGATTAAGGGATCAATTGACCCTATCATAGAAATATTGGAGAATGTCTATGCAACTCTTGTTGCTTCTGAACAAGTAGCCAAATAGTAGCCAAAGTGGCATTTGTCTCTTCCATCAGGGCCTTACCACTTGACTTCCTTCTCAGAAAGAAACTTTAGCTCACCATCTATGTGCCAGACTTTATCCTTGGCATCTTCCATGGTAACAACAACAACAACAACAGCAACAACAATAAAACCAGCAAATTATTAGGAGCTTGTAATGTGCATGGCACTGTGCAATGTGCTTTAAATGTACTGTCTCATTTAATTCTCCTATGAATCTTGTATAAGTGGATACATTATCGTCCATATTTATTAAGGGGAACATGCCCGTGTCCCTGCTATGAAGGGATTTGCTGTAACCCTAGGGACAGGCATATCTGTGTACAATTAATTAACCAACTGGACATAGGGCCATCAAAGAGAGGCAGCATAGCAGAGAGAAAAGCTTATGGATTCAGGAGCTGAAAGCACATGGTTGGAATTCCAGCTGTATCCCTTTCTAGTTGTACCATCATTGGTAAATTTAACTTTCAGAGCTTCAGACTCCCCATTTTTAAAAATACAATTTATTGTCAAATTGGTTACCATACAGCAACCAGTGCTCATCCCAACAAGTGCCCTCCTCCATGCCCATCACCCCCCTTCCCCTCTCCCCCATCCCCTATCAACCCTCAGTTTGTTCTCAGTATTCAAGAGTCTCTTATGGTTTGTCTCCCTCCCTCCCTGTAACTTTCCCCCCCTTCCCCTCCCCCATAGTCTTCTGTTAAGTTTCTCAAGCTCCACATATGAGTGAAAACATATGGTATCTGTCCTTGTCTGACTGACTTATTTCACTCAGCATAACACCCTCAAGTTCCATCCACGTTGCTGCGAATGGCCAGATTTCATTCTTTCTCATTGCCACGTAGTATTCCATTGTATAGATAAGCCACATCTTCTTGATCCATTTGTCCGTGGACATTTAGGCTCTTTCCATGTTTTGGCTATTGTGGAGAGTGCTGCTATGAACATTGGGGTACATGTGCACCTATGCATCAGCACTCCTGTGTCCCTTGGGTAAATTCCTAGCAGTGCTATTGCTGGCTCATAGGGGAGTTATGTTTTAATTTTTTAAGGAACCGCCATACTGTTTTCCAGAGTGGCTGCACCAGTTTGTATTCCCACCAACAGTAAAAGAGGGTTCCTATTTCTCCACATCCTCACCAGCATGTATCAGACTCTCCATTTGTAAAATGGGTTTGTAATACTTTCATACAAGTTTGCAGTGAAAATTACATGGTTGTATTTAGAAAGCACCTAGAATGATGCTTGCCACATACCTCTGTTTAATAC